AATGGAATTTAAAGAACTCTGGAGAAGTGATAATAAATATAGATGATATATGAAAGCTTTTTCATTACAATAATGATGCTTCAATCATTAACCCCGCAGTGCTTGTGTGGCATATTATTACGATATTGCATGTCAGGTCATGCAGCGTCTGACAGACGCCAGGTATATTTTTGCTGTACTAATATATATTTAGGTCATTCAATTCAAATTTATGAATGCAAAGGTATTATTAAATTTATGAATGCAGAGTAACACATATATACAGTCAAAAGTCTTTAATCCGGACTCGTCGGGACTTCGGCGATTCCGGATTATCGATTTTTCCGGATTATAGATCATTAGTTTAAATCTGGTAAGATGGCATGCAGAAATTATAAAATTAAAAATATGAAACCGTAATTTATAAAATAATGAGCAATTATGATCTAAAGGGTATCAAAATTTACAAAAAAAGAAGCTTAATATTTATTTGTTTACTTTATTAAACATTTCTTTTAACGCGCGCATGCGTAAAGCATACCTTACGCATAGCCGAAATTAGAAAATTGCAACCAGAAAACTATTTGATTTGTATTCGTGATATTTATAATGACGAGGAATTTGATTTAAATCATATCAAAGACGGAGTACATCGAGATTAAATACTACATATAGTCGAGATTAAATACTACATTTAGTAAGGAATTATAAGCCGAATAAAATAAAAACATGTGCCCTGAAGATAACGATAGTGCTGACAGATCAACTTCCAGTTCATTGCCGCCGCGACGTCTCCCCCCCCGCGCAGAGCAGCGTGAAATTGATAAACAGATTTCGGAACGGTTAGATAAACAAAAGGTATGGCTTTATCCATTTTTTTGTAGCAGTTCGTTTTTTGTTTGATGGACATCGAAACATACTTTCGTTTTCTAGATCCTTTGGGAGCTCCAGCATCGGAAATTCTATTTGACATAATCGAAAGTTTAAGCTTACTTTTATAAAATTGCTCTTACAGTCTGCAAAAAATAAGCCGGATCCAATTCGAGGATTAAGGAACAACGCAATCATCAACATTAACTGAAATAGATAATTAGATAATTTTAGCTTATACGGTCCGTTATACATTAAATGCGCACGCGAAAACGTATTCTGCGCTTGCGCAAACGCATATGCGCAGTCGTAAATGTCTTGCGCGCACGCGTAAAACGCCTATGCGCATACGTCCACGCGGCGCATGCGCAGAAAGATTTTAGCTTGAGGTCTGGATTATAGATCATTCCGGATTATGGGTGTCCGAATTAACGACTTTTGACTGTATTACAAATACAACAAAACACCAGTTTATAGTAAGACTTAATTTTATTCAAGTTGTGGAAATACAAATGAAAAATACAAGTGAAATTGTCTCATGTAGTTAGTTGCAGAAATTAGCAATCAGTGCATATTTGCTGGGCGTGTTTTAAACATAGAAAATGTTTATAACTCCGGCATTTGTACTTGGTGTACCTGTTCTTGGAACGGCCCCATTCATGACATCGCTGCCTTTTAGTAGTTCGAGCCTCTTCTGTAGGGTGAACTGTGCGCTCATCTGGCAAAAGGCTCTGAATATCCTGCTTGAGGTTCTAGCTAAAGATGAACATTGATAACATTTATGCAAGGAATCATCAGCTAGATTACGACCCAAAAGTTTTAAAAACTCACTGTACCTGGTGCTGATAGATAAATTATTTGCATGATATATTATTTGAGTTAGATAGCTGCTACATTCATCATACTGTTGCGTGCGTACAGGTTCATAATGGACTGAATGCACAAGTCGATAAAATCTTAATAAAATTTATTCTCATGCCAAAAAATAAAACAAAATGCTCAAATTTTCTCAGAGATATTCATAAAATATCACTATCTCACAGTAGTTATATTTTAAACTACTAAAACACTAAATAGAACACAATTTAAAGCAGAATAAACTAATCTGATCTCACCGCGAATTTGCTACAATCAAGAACAGCACTAAGTAAATAACTGAACTGAGATGATTTCCTCTGGCTTTTAAAAGATTTTTAATCAGTCACGGGAAGCTTCTCAGAATTTCTCAAGGTATCTGGAAAGCAAAAGAGTACAAGTACGAGATATCTATTTATTAAATGTGCATGCTACTGTATTTTTATTTTTTCGGCGTAGCTTTCTCTTAAAACTCATCACATGCTCCATTACATGGGGAGATAAAACAATTTTAATTATAATTCTACCAAAAATAGCTAACTAAATACAAAATCCATAAGACTGCCCCTTTCCTAAGGACTGCACGTCTTGGGCAGTACAATCCCTGGGCAGGAAGCCAAACTTACAACTAAGGCATCAATGCAATAACAAACAACATAAACAATAGTTGTAATAAGTAACTTAAAACAAATCAAATGCTATCAAATACTAAATACAAATCAAATACAATCAAATTTAGAAACAAAATGGTATTTAGCATTGGTATGGTAAAGTTATTGGAATAGTACTTGGTATGGTAAACTTATACTATTTACAAGTATATACACTACGTACTATGGCCATAGTAAGAAGCTAACCTGTCGTAATGAATGAACTTAGGCTTAGAGTTCGATGACTTACGGATCCAAACCACGACGTCGTCCAGCCTGTTTAAACCTGTGTATGGACCATCCCATGGTGACTGTAGTTTCGGACAGAGTCCTTTCCATTGAGTCGAATTCCACAACCACACCTAGTCTCCTTCATTGAATCGATGCCCAGTAGCTCTAATGTCATATCGGGTCTTCATCTTCTCGATTGCCAAGTTGACTCACTCTCATGCAAAGTTGTGCTTCACTTCAAACCGCACCTGGAAATCTTGAATGTCTTCCTCAGGTGATGAAGGCAGATACGGAGGGCGACCAAACAAAAGATCACAAGGCAGATGAAGGTTACGACTGAAGAGCATCTGGTATGAAAAATAGCCGGTAGTCTCATGTTTCTCTTTGACCCTAGTATGATTTGGGCAGCTTTCTGGGCAGGACAGGTCTTCAGTGTTTCCAGGTGTGGATCCCTTCTGATAATGGACAGTCATGTCCTCAGACGCTGAAAGCAGATTGTTGTTTTTGAAGTCCAAGGAAAAGTTGTATTTCTTTAAAATGTCCAATCCAAGTATGCAGGGGTCTGTAATATCTGCCACATATACCATGTGATAGTAGGCAGCACTTTTCCATATGTGATGTTCACTTTTAACTTTCCATCTATGTCAATTTTATCATCAGATGCAGTCTCGAGGGTAACACAGGATGGCGTCCAAATGAGTTTATCTTTAAATTGTCTGGCTAAATCTTTCCGAAATTTGGTAACATGAAATTTGGTAACATATCCTCTATCAATAATCATATTGCAAGGAAGTCTATCGATATGACCATTGATGGATAGTCCATTACTGCTGCCACACACTGCAGAAATCTTGAGTGCTTTAAAACGGAGATTTTTCACCGTCATTCAAACTCCACTTTGCTATATGTCCATTAATTTGTTTCCTGCATCGTTACTGGAAATGGTGTTATTTTCCATACTGGGGTTTATATAGTACCTTTGTACGTGGCCTTCAGCTGCGCAGTTTGGTTTCTTGTCACTCCTTTTCCGTCTCATGGCATTTGATTGTCTGTTTAAATCGTCTGTCTTATTTTACATGTTTTGCAGTTCCTTCATATGTGGCCTTCAACACCTCAGTTCCAGCAGTTTAGAATTGGATTCTTTCCACTCCTCTTCTGTCTCAAGGCACTGACCAGTCTTGCCAAATCGTCTGTTTTATTTTCCGTGCCCTTGGGTGTTCTACAATGCTGTCATGCGGCCTTCAGTACCACATTTCCAGCACTTTAGTGTTTGTTTTGTGTCACTCCTATTCCATCTCAATGCATTGACTTGTCTTGTTAAATCATCTGGGTGAGCGATCAACTGATTCACTGGCTTGTGGACTCGCACAGCTCTGACTGTGTAGTGATCTCTACGAGTTGCTTGCTTGGTAGCCTTGAATTACTTGGCGTACACCAGAGCCCCTTTTACATCCTTGACATCTGCCATTCGCTGAGCTTTCTGTATTTCAGGATTCTGGATGACGTCGATGAAATACTGCTGAGACAGGATTTCTCTTGTTCCCGTTGGGCACTACATATTTTGGTAGCTTGTGTATTTACAATGTTTCTTTTACTAGTTATTGATTTTACAGTTTTCTTGAGTAAAAATTTTATGAGTTTTAATCCCGATTTTATATTTTGTATTCAATCAATCATCACAGAGCAGTGATTATTTGAATTATCTTGATGATTAAATTCAAATAATAAAAAGTTTTCTTTCAAAATTTTAATTTCTTATTGCTTCTTTATGTTGACCTTATATTAATGTTTTTTACAATTAATTAATTTACTTAAGTTTTGTTTCAGCTACTGATACATAGTTTTGATTCATACACAGACATAATCAAAGATGTTGCTTTATTGAAAATTCCTTAAAAGTGTTCAAGGAATTTTTAACTATTATTTTTTATCTCATTATTATTATTGTTGGTAAGTGTTATATGACTATATTTTGTATTGATTTGCTTTTGTTAAGTTTGTTACTATGGATGATTTAATTTTAATTTTATTTTTGTTTATTATATTATATTAAACTTTTATAAACGTTTTCTCATCTTATTCTATGTAAGGAGAAAGTCTGTAGTTATAAAGTTACCTAATTTATGTACTAGGTATATGAAATAGGAAAAGATGTATACTTAATTTTGTAAATAATTTTGCAAGATTCATATTTTGTTACTTTTCAGCCAATTTATATTTAATAAATGAAATTATGACTGAATAATTATGCAAATTATTTCAGGAAAATCTGTTTTTGTTGATTTTAAATGTGATTTATTTAAGTAATTCAAATTTTTAACATTAAAAAAGTAGTTTTGAAGTGTATGCTATTTTTACTTATGAAAAAAATTTTAAAAGACTATGGTCTTAGTAAATGTCTGTGTCTTATTGCAGGTGAGAAGAAATTAGGGAAGGTTATAACACCTGATCCATGGAAAGCAGGGGCAAGAAATACGACGGGTAAGGATTTTTCCTGTTCCTTGTTATATTTGCAACTACAGTACAAAGTCCGAAATCTGGACTTCCATTATACGGAATGATCTAAAATCTGGACCTCAAAGCCACAAACATTTTTTTTGTATGCTTTATGCATGCACACTTGATTTTTCCTTCCATACTAAAATGTGGAGCTGTTCATTTAAAAATTCTGTTTGTTAATTTCACTTAGGCACTAAATAAAATACCTCGTTATTGAAAAACAATCATGTAAGCATAAATTTGTGACATTAATAATTTGGCTCTTTAGCTGAGTGTCTTCTTGGCATACATCTCAAACCGAAACTTTCACCTATTTTATATCCCTGATGCCAAACTGGTGAGTCATTATTTATTATATTTGGCTTTCATCACCGCATGTTTATCAATACATACAGCATCTGTAATTACTCATGCAGTGATGTCTAAACTTTTTTTTATATTAGTAATTGAATAACTAGTCTGGCAACCTTTTATGCTAACATTACACTTGGCGATGATTATAGATTTTTAAATGCTCTAAAAAATGTTGACGAGTAAAAATTCAACAAAAATTTCTTTTCATATGCTAAAAATAGATTTTGTTAATAAAACTCATAGGCCAAAGATTACATTTAGTGCTATTTTAATGAACCCCTTAACTGCCGCGATCGTATATATGTGCCTTGCTCAGCCGATGCGTTAACTGCCCCGGGTGTATATATACGCCCTTCCAAGCTACTATCATTTGCTTTGCTTTGCTACCCATAAAATAATTCACAAAGCTACGAGGCTGTACGGGGGGTGATTCCAGACCTCCCACTTGAACCTTTGTAGTAATTCCTGAGTGGGGCCTGGCATTGTCATGCAGAAGAATGATGCCTTTGCTCAGTAATCCAGGCCGTTTGCGTCGGATGGCTTTATGCAATTTCGTTAAGGTGGCACAATAACGATCGGCCTTAATGGTATGGCCACGCTCCAAATACTCGATTAGGATAACACCAGGCATATCCCAGAAAACGGTTGCCATCACTTTACCGGCAGAGAGTGTGACCTTAAACTTCTTCCTCGTCAGTGATCCAGCGTGTTTCCACTCCATCGTGGCTCTTTTGTATGTGGGGGGTGAAGTGATGAAGCCATGTTTCATCACCGGTAACGATGTGATCAATGAAGTGTTGGCCATCTGAATGGTATCGCTGAAGAAATGTGAGGCTGCACATCATTCGAGTGGCATAAACTTTGGAATATCGCAACTCATCGGTTACAATAAGCTGAACGTTACCATAACTCAGGTCCAACTCTGAGGCAATCTCACGCACGGTTACTCAGCGATCCCTTTGGATGATTTCTTCAACACGTGGCATGTTGATATCCATCCTTGAAGAACTTGGACGGCCGCTTGCTTCCATATTGTGGTTTTCCACATGCTCCCTGCCCGCTTGATAAGAATGACACCATTTCGCTACCTGTTGTCTATTCATTGCTTTGTCCCCGTATACCTCAACGATTTGTCTGTGAATTTCGGATGCGGCCACATTCTTGGCCCATAAGAATAGAATTACGGCTCGCACCTCTATGCAAGACCACTTTTCTAGACATCGTGCCATTACTGTCGCTCTTAAGTGTCTGCGTACTGATGCTACTTACTCGTAGAACCGCTGAAGGACAACTAGCGCCATCTGTCAACCACCCTGGGTGGAAATATTCGCTCCACAATTATTACGTTTCAAATGCTTCTGCTTGTAAACTTTTTTTTGGATCAACCTACGTATTTTCGTTAAATTTTAATTATGTGTTTCATAAATAAAACTACTGCTTATTGCAAAGTGAGCTATGTACAGCTCTCCAATTGTGGGTGAAAATTTTGATGAATTATAAAATTTTCGACCACACCATGACAAATTATGATTAAAACTTACAAATGCCTCCCATTTTCAGTTCATTTGTTTAACCGTTCCTGGCACAATGTGTCCTATCTGAGCACGTCCAAAAAATTCCCTCTGTATACACAGAAAAATTGAATGGAAAAGGCTTTATAGTTACTTTTAACCTTCTTTATTTATACTAGATGCCAGCACAACACAACAAGTCCATACATTTTAACCTTGTTTTAAAGACCCTCATTTATTTTTCAAAGAAAGAGTCAAGATTTTTTTTTTTTTTTTTTTTTTTTTTTTTTTTTTTTGATACAGAAAGAAATGTTTGAAAAGAAGTTCTGCTTTATTTTCTTGGCTATATGCTATTCTATATTAGTTTTAAATTTTTATCTTGAAATCTTGCCTAAAATCAAACGTTGAACATCTGGTGTTTCCAGAGTGGAATCACTGAAACACCAGGACAAGACCAACAACTGTATCTTTGTTTCACTGCAGTATTTATGCAGCTAATTCACAGAAGAAAAGTGGGTGCACATGTGTGTTTCATTTCCTGTTTTTCTTTCTTTCTTTCTTTCTTTTTTTTTTTTTTTTGTTCGTTTTTTGGAGGGGAGGTTTGGTTACCAACTAAGACATTGTCGGCCTGGTTTTTTTGAAGGTCAGGGGTAATTTATCACTTAGCTCTTTAATTTTTCACTACAGCAGTTCTTCTTCTTCTTCTTTTTTTTTTTTTTTTTTCTTTTCACTTTCTTTGAAGGAAGTTTTATTAGCTCTACGTTTTGATAATTTTGAATTGTAAATGTTTGTTTAATTTTATGGTTTATATTTTCTTAATTGTAGATATAATATTATTTTTTTCTGATTTTTAATTACTTTGCAAATAGATTGGAGAGGACTGACCATTTCTGAAGCTCTGAAAGCACTAAATGAATTGCCTTCAGATAGTAAATCTGATACGGATCCCAGTACATGTATAAAACATGCATTGTTGGGTTGTGCTTTATAAAACTACGTGTCACTTGCTTTTTAAGTACTACCATGAAAAAAATAGACGAATGTGTAAATATGAAACATAAATAATGTAAATATCATATAACCAATTTACCTTATTTTCATTTATATGCATGTAAACATCATATAACCAAGAAAAGCTTTTTTTGGAGGGGGGTATAGAGCAGCAGGCCTCCCCGTTGTGCACCCTGGGTAATGCTAAATCTGCTATGATAATCAGAATCTAGTGTTTTTTAATTGTAGGCAAAATCTTTTACTTTATAATATGCTTCCCAGCAATGCTCACCTCAGTGCTCTTTTCGAAGCTCTGTTAATTGAATTGGCCTGCTTTGGGCACACCCACAGAATTAAAATGGTAAGTGCTATCTTTACAAAATTGTACCTGTGTGCTGCTCTGGGCCGTATTAGACTGCCTACCTTTTTTTTTTTTTTTTTTGTTTGTTTGTTTTGTTTTGTTCAAATTCCGACTTTAAAAGGTAGCATGCCAGAAAGTGTTAATAGCTTATGGCAAAGCACTATCTGCCTAAAGAGAGAATGCCTTAGTGGGAAAACTTTTAAGGGAAACTGGCTCCCATTCAATTTACACATGGAGAAAAGTAAGAAATCACCTGTGCAGCCAGCTAATATGGAAGCCTTGCTATTCTGAAATGATGAAAATTTTTCTAAATGTAATTTTAGAACATTACTCTTGCAAAATGTGTAGAAAAATAAGTTGACCTTATGCCTTAGAAACATGTTTTTATTAACTTTATACTGCTCAGTCTTTTAAGTAGCTTTCTTATTCTATTTGAATGCTTTGCATAATTAATTCAATGACTTTTTTCTTTTTTGGTATACTAGCATTTTATATATAATTTCTTTTCCCCAAGTTAAATGAGTTTGAATCAATCTCCCAAAGTTCAGTTTTAGAAATCTTTTTTTTTTTTTTTTTTTAAATTGTTTTTGGTGTGTAAAATATTAACTTTTCATTAATGTTGATTGTTATTTTTGTGCTGAATGTTGAAATATCAGATATGCTTGTTACTTCATTTCATTTTTAAATAATAATTAGAAATCATAACACATACCAATGAAACAATTTTTATCTTTTCTGCTATGAAATTTAATTAAATTAAATAACAGTAAATTAGACATGCCTTTCAAGTACTGCATTTCAAGAATCAAATTTGAAAGCTTTACCATTGTCTTACTGTTTTTTAAAATGGTATGTCGAAGACAGTACCAGAGCTAATTGAGTAAACTAATTACTTTAAATACTTATTAAGGAAAGGGGTTATTTATAAATACATGCATTTTAATTTTTTGTAACTTGGTTTAACATTTTTAGTCTTTCCAGTTAAAATTTATTTCTTTAATTGGTTCTTAAACATGATCAAATGTAAATATATTATGTTGTATAGAGTAATTTCATTTAAAATATGATTGAACATAGAAAACATAAGTAGTCTGCTATATGGAAGTTAGTGCTATTAATTAAAATGCTAATTTTAGCAAATGGTTTGCAAATTTAAGCCAATTAAAGACATTGAAGTTAATGCCCAAAGAAGGTGGGCAAATTTGCAGGGTCTTGGCTAAGTGGGGAGTATTAATTCTTTGCAACCTACTTTGTTTCACCTTCTCTGTGGGGGAAAGAAATTTCGACTCAAAGTACATGATTATCCCTTTTGGCTAATCTTCTGCATGCTAAAAGGACACCAAACCTATTTTATCACATGTTCAGATTTAAAAATAATGTTTTAGTGGTGCCATCTGAGAAATAACTAACTAAAAATGGTAAATTGCATACTACAAGAAAAAATAATTACCATCAGCTAGTATAACTTAGAAGAAATTGAAATATATAAATAGTAGCTTTCATGTATCATTTCAAATTAAGAGAAATAAACTGAAAATCTTTCGAAAAAGTCTTTTTAAATATTTTTTATTTAATTACAGAGAGTGGTGGGAGAAAAATTAATGAAAACAAAGCCCTAACTGCAAACAAAGCAAGGTGAGCGATATTTCTATTGTTTATTATCAAAGTATGTTTAATTATGTATTTTTAATTTCTAATTTTTATTATTTCTTTATATTCTTTTTATTATTTAAATGCATCTTTTTGATCCAAATGAAGAGAAAATTATATCCCCCCTTTTTTTAAATACTTCTATTGTAATATGAATACAATTGTGTTGAAATATAAATAAAAAATCTTAATTTTTAATAATAACATGTTAAATTGAGTAATAAAAATTAGAATCAGATGTTTAAATTTATGTTAGTTCATGTAATTCTACATGGTACCTTGCAGAAAGGTGGCCTACCTTCAATATGGTGCTTTTTGCTTTGTAGGAGGCCATGGGCTGTTGCTCTCTGTCTGTGAGGAGACTGAATGTTGACAAATAAAGTGATGTTCTAGCTTTATTTTGTCTTCCAGTTTGCTCCTCTGCATATTGCGTCTAAAAGACGAAGCACTTCTTGTCATATTATTGTTGGAGGCAGGCAACTTTTTTTATTGGTCACCTTTACAAGAATTTTTACAAACAGTCTAACTGAAACTTAATTGGTATCCAGTTTAGTTTCTTTCGCACTTCATTCAGTATCACACAGTACTCCACAGTTTTGTGAAGTCTCACAGAATGTCCCAGTAACATCTGTTTCATTTTAAAAAATTACCTAAGCCAACACTTTAAATGCATCCCCAATCAGTAGAATGCAGAATAGAGATTACCCATAAGGTTCATGTGCTGGATCTATCTTGTGAAACCTTTCATTAACATCAATGTAGAATGGCCTAGTCATACCTCAGTTATTGCTAAAACTGATGATACAGCTTTTATGATAAGAGGGAAGACAAGAGGTAAGGTTTAATAATGCTGCAATGAAACAAGTGAGCTCTTCTATGATCACTGCAACCAATTCAAGCTTCAGATGTCCTAAAAAATAATCCATGCACTCCTGTCTTTTTGTCCAATGTGATGGCAAAGTACTGGTATCCCTGTCTTCCATTGCCTGTTACCTGCACTTCATTCAACACAGCCCTGATTATGTAGTAGTTGTGTTGAATATTAGTGTTCTTGGCTACTGCATCATTGTGCTGTATCTTAGTGTTCCTGGCTGCTGTATTGTTGGGCACAAGTTCTAATCCTAGAGAAGGCATGAATGTTTGCAAATACTATATAGTGTCAGTGTGGCAAGCAGGTACCCAAAATACATGGCAAGCCAAAAGGTCCTTTTGAGTGATTGATGGTAGGGGAAAAGGGGTGGAAGATCCTCAGACTGTCCCTTCATCAAAACTGGGGCAGAGTTGAACAGCCACAAGTAGAAGCTAGGCCAGCACCTCAATCAGTTGTAGTACCACAAGTTATTGAGGTGTTGCTGAACATAGGTAACTGTTAAGCTTCTTCCCCAATTTTGAGATAGAACACTACAGGGAAGCAGTTATAAGGTCTTCCACTCCTTTCCCTCTGCCACCAACCTCTGAAGAGGATTTCAGTTTGTCATATATTTCGACTGCTCCTTTGCCGCACATATATCCATGCCTTCTATAGCATTTGAACTTGGGTCCATTGATCCCACAGTCAGCATCATTAACTGCTGTACTGGCTGGGCAGCATCAAACATACTAACAATAAACAAGTAATACTGTGTCATTAGACTTGACAAATATCCAGTCCAAGTCTTTGGGTATGTTGAAGAGTGTCTCTGATCTTGACTCTAAGATGTTTATAGTGTATTACCTGAAAGGTATTAGGTTATCACAAGGCTTTATCAGATGTTTACCCTTTGTCAGATTATAATAAAAAATGCAATGATCAGGGTTGCCCCTTTTTTCCATATATGCAGAGATCTGAGGGACACATGCCTTTCTCATGCGCAAAGCTTAATAGTTAGTACTGCCCATGTTGAACCTAGTCCATGCCAGCAATTCTAATACAGTACAAAGTCCGTAATATGGACGTCTATTATCCGGAATGCGCATTTAATGTTACACATGCGTGTTTAGCACAAAAAATGAAGCAAATAACTTACATTGAAAAAAATGTTTAATAAAGTAAACAAATAAATATTAAACTTTTTTTTTTGTAAATTTTGATACTCTTTAGATCATAATTGATCTTTATTTCATAAATTGCGGTTTAATATTTTTAATTGTATAATTTCTGCATGCCATCTTACCAGTTTTAAATTGATGATCTATTATCTGGAAAACCCCTAATCCAGAATCGCCAAAGTCCGGACGAGTCCGGATTATGGACTTTGTACTGTATATCTGTAGGAAAGTACAGGTTTCAGCTTTGTTTCAACCTTTACTTGTGCTCCATTCAGTGCAGTCCTATCAGTCTAGCAGTTAATGCTCCTGGTTGCCAGTTTTTGACCTGGATTTGAATCCCAATGAGGGTTTGGATGTTTGAATTTGTATAGTTTCTATGGGACATATTGGCACTTAAATTAGCAAGCAAGTCCTTTCATATGGTTTGGCAATAGAAAAGATCCTCGGGATACTGTCCATCAGAAACGGAGCAAAGCTGAACAGTTAGTGCATTAGTATGACTAATTCATTGAGATTCTGATGTCCTGTCCATTTCTACATGTACTAGTAATGCATTTGCCATTCATGTTGGTTCAGTATGTGAACAGAAACCATTTGTCCACATGATAACATACTTTTGTGAACTAATTTATGTGTAGCAAGTTTGTATTCAGATTTCCATATTTAGACTTATTTCCTGGACTTTTTTTTGTTGGCTGTTTATTTTATTATTTATTAATTTTACTATCGATAATTTCAGTCTTTCTGTTAGTTATATAAAAGATCCATAGTTTATTTTCTATATAATTAGTATTTGAAATCAGGCAAAAGGCAGCAGTTGCTCAATATTTAAATAATGTTTTTCTGTCAGTAAAATCAAAGCTAAGTTGAAAACTAAATTTTTCTTTTGCTGAATTTGAATAAAATAAAAGTCTAGCTAAATTAAAAAAGGTAAATGGTTGAGGCAAAGCTGACACCTGTACATTCTTAAAGATATATTTTTTTGCAAAGGGAGGGGGGGGGTAGAGAAATACTAATTTTGGTTTCTTTCCACATTTTGCCCAGTATCATTTCTTGACAGATGATAGGTAAAGTATAACTTATAATTTCTGTTATAGTTTTAATATTATAAATTGTTGTCATAAATATTTAATATTTAACATACCCATACTGAAAAATTGAGAGTGGTAAAGTGATGATCATGCTATTACCTATTCATTAGTTTAAGAATGTTTAACCTCTTCGCTTCCAATGACAGGGAATTAAATTTCTGTAATATGCTTTGCTCTTGGAGTCCTGAATGTCGCAGTGTGGCCGAGCACATTTTGCAATGAAAAACATGCAAAAATAATTTTTGTAGCACCTGATTATTGTCTAAATACCTGGAATCTTGCATACATTATTTCTTTTTACATAAATAGAAAATCCTAAGCCTTAAAATAAAAATTGAGCATAAGTTAAATTGCAGTACTAGTCATAATGATTATATTCTTATATTTAAATTACTTCTGTACAACAATGAAGTAAAAATCCTAAGAATTTAAATATCAGAGCTTATTATATCCTACTGCAATATTTATGTACAAAAATTGTAAGCCTCTTGCATTGCATGAAGCATTTAAGCCAACAATGTTCATAATCAGCATTGCACGTTTGCATGTTTTACTTTCCTGGAATAAAATAATGAGTAACATAAAGCTGCACCATGAAGAGTAAACACTTAATGAAATAGTAGGCCATTAAAATACATAGCGTATTTGTAAACTAAATACCGTTTCATTCTAGCGCTGTCGCAGCGCTGTGGTAGGCGTCTCGCGCATGCGCACTAGTCTTTCTTGTTCACTGTCTTTCAATTGTCACCATTTTGTTTGCTCTATGTTGTGTTTTCAGTTTGCTGTGCACATTAAAAATGTTTAAGACAATTAGTTCTCACACTGACTGTGATATTCGTGCCATAATTAAATTTTTTAATGCGAGGAATGTTAAACCGGTCGAAATTTATCGTCAAGTGACAGAAATTTACGGTGAATATGCGATAAGTGATGGAATGGTGAGAAAGTGGGTAAGAATGTTTAATACAGGTCGAACAAATGTCCATGCCGAGGCTCGGAGTGGTCGGCTTTCTGTTGTCACCGATGATTTGGTAAGGAAAGTTGATGAAGCAATTCATGAGAACAGACGCTTCACAATGACAACTCTTTCAGAGGCATTTCCACAAATTTCACATACTGTTTTGTTTGAAATTGTGTCTGACCGCTTGAATTATCACAAACTGTGTTCCCAATGGGTTCCAAAAATGCTCACTGATATTCACAAAACAAAGTGACTTGGTAGTGCCCTGACATTTCTCACGTGGTACAGTGATGAGGGAGAAAACGTTTTAAACCAAATTGTGACAGGTGATGAAACTTGGGTTTGTCATTTCACACCAGAATCGAAACAACAATCGATTGAGTGGAGACACACTCATTCTCCGAAAAAAACAAAAGTTTAAAGTGACAATGTCATCACAAAAAATCATGTGCACTGTCTTCTGGGATAGGAAAGGCGTTTTGCTTACTGAATTTCTTCCCAGAGGTGAAACCATTAATGCGGCACGATATTGTGAGATTTTAACAAAACTAAGGCGTGCCATTCAAAACAAACGAAGAGGAATGCTCAGTAAAGGAATTGTGTTGCTCCATGACAATGCTTGGCCCCATAGTGCTGGTGTCACTCAATTGTTAATTTGACAGTTTCATTGGGAGCAGTTCGATCAACTTCCGTACAGCCCAGACTTGGCGCCATCTGACTATGACTTGTTCCTGCACATGAAGCGTGAGCTTGGTGGGAAGCACTTTGGATCTGACGATGAACACGAAAAATGCTGTGGAGTCGTGGTTATCGAAACTGGCGGGAAGTTTCTTTGATGATGGTATACAAAAACTGGCCACCCGCTATGACAAGTGTTTGATCATTGGCGGAAACTATGTTGAAAAATAGTTTAAGACATGTATTTTCATGTAAAAATAAAATTGGATGCGAAAAAATTGTTGTACTATTTTTTTTTCTTCAAAACGGTACTTAGTTTCCGAATACGCCTCGTAAATCAGAGCGGTACACAAACATGGCATTGCACACTGGTAATGATCCTGATGCCCGAGAACAGTTAAAACTGTAATGCACACTCCAATAAAGCATTAGAACTTAATGAAAATAAAAAAAGGGAAATTCCGCAATTCATTATGATTAATTGTAGCAAAAACAAATGTACTTAATGCAAAAAGAAATACTAATAAGAAATATGACTGTTAAATTTCAAAAGTACAAATCCATGTGTGCAAACACAACTGCAAATCTACATGAACTTAAACATCTGTGTTATGTGCATACTGGGGTTGCTGTACAGTTAGTTTTTGTTTACATTATGGGTTGCTGCATAAATATTTTTTAGTGACATGGTCCATTGCCTCATCAATAGTTTTAAGTGACTACTTGCCTCGTCAGTACTTTTAAGAGGGGGTTTGCAGATAATCAGAAAGTTCAAGATTTTCTTAATTATCATCCAATAGCACTTATTACTATTAAAAAAAAAAAAAAAAAACATAGTACCCATTTTCCAGCATGGTTAAAAAAAAAGTATCATAAGAAATCATTTAGCATTATGTATGTTTTATATGTATGAGTTGTAAAAAAGAAATCAATGTATTTCTTTTTAGAAATTATTTTTTATCAACCATTCTACTATATGATAATATTATTAATTTATATTTTGATATAAGAACTTCTTTTTATTTTAATCTTTTTCCTATTGAGTGTTTGTCATTGACATGTTTTTGTATCTTCTACATTTCTTGTGCTTAATAGCGTATCAGATTATATAAAATTTTAAGCAGAATGATTAAAAAAGTTTAAAAAATATAAAACTTAAAAAAAAGAACATCTATAATATTTATTGAATACAGTGAATGTTTATTTAATTAACAGCAATTGGTTTATAGATTAATTAGCACATTTTATCAGAAAGGTAAATACCAAAATATTGAATTTCATAAAACAAATTTTCACACTTTTTAAAATCAAATTTGAGTGGCATATTGTTTACAATTAGTTTTTGCTTTCTGTTATAAATAATGTACATACACTCTGTTGAAAATTTAATAATAGTTTCATTAAAAAAATTGTTGGTGCTGTCTGGATTATCTGCATTTTTAGTTTCACTTTTTCATAGAATTGCCAATTTTGTTTTATTTTCAATTATATACATGATAATAAATAATCCACACATGCATGTATGACATAAATGTGAATACACACACATTTACACGCATTACATTTAATAGCAATTCTGTAAGTATCTATATAGATTTTTGCTTTTCTCACCAATGCTTTTTTTATTATTATTAATGAACATAACAAAACCTGTTAGCTGTAAAGATTGTTAAATAGATGTTTCTTGCCAATTCACAAAATTGTGAATCGGTGACTTTTTGTGGGGGTGCCGATAATCAGAAAGTACCAAGATTTATAATGGGATATCAATGAACCAGAAGTTGTATGGCAGAACATTTTATCATATTTGAAATTTGACATTCACAAAGTATAATATATGCATATGCAGTTTTTTCCCTTTTATACAAAGATCATTATTCTGATGTGAAATAATGCTGTACATTCTGAAGAAGTTTTCATGGAGAAGAACTTCCTGTTTCTCAAAGTCTAAATTTTTTTATCTCTGCCTTTTCTTTTTAATCTGAAGCTCTTAAACTTCTGATTAATTTATGTATGCCATTAAAATGTTTTCATTGATTTAAATTACATATAAAATATTATTTAAAATTGCTACATTACAAAATTCATTTTTAAAAAAGCTGTTAAATTAATTTATGTAGTAATAATGTTACATAGGAAACTAATGTATGTAATAATATCATTTCTTTGTAACATTGTAATAAACATTTTATTTAAATACCAAAAATATAAATGAGGTTATGTGTTAGTTTTAATAGCTATTTATAAAAATTTTACAATAGATATATATATCTATATATTATATAGATAAATTAAAATATTTAGCTGTTTTATTTTTGGTTGAAATACAATAGATTTTATATGAAGGCAAACAAAAATTAGGTTTAGTGTTAAATTTTATTTTAAAAGTTGTTAAGTTTTCAAGTTTAGCGATAAAAATATTGCATATTTTAAAATCCTGTAATCTTTGAAAAAATAAAATACAATAAACAAAAAATAAAATTCCCTCATTTATACTAATACCTATTTGGCCTATTTGACACTAAATACCTATTTAACCTGCATTAAAAAAAAAAGACAATTCTATTTTTCTGATGTCTAAGCACTTTGCCTATTATATCTATGTGTATAATTTTTTTAAAAACTCTAAAAAGAAGACATTTCATGAAATTGGTTTTTTGTGCCATGTGCCACCAGCAGCTTATAAGTGAAGCAGCATGATTCATTTTCATTGGCATTTCCTTTTTCGAGCTTGATGGCAGCTAGAGTCTTGATGCTATCTTCAATAAATGCCTCCCTTTCACTGAATGGTATTCGTTTAATGAAAGGATTTACTGCCACCATACAATCTATTAAAAAAAAAAAAAAAAAAAAAGGCCAATCAGACATTGAAATTTGGAATTTCTATGAAAATAACAGTTTTTGTTTCAGCACAAAATTTTATAAAATATTTTCAAAATCTGCTCAGCATTATCCAGTGGTTCACTTTTGATTTTGGGCAATTGTCTTTTTCAGTTTTATTTGCAAATATCAGTTATTAAACATTAGCAAAATGACTTCATCCCCCCCCCATATATACTGTTGCTCTTCTGTTTAAAAACCTGCTTGTTTTTTTAAAGTTATTCAAAGCAAAAAAATAGTTTATTAACACTTTAACTACTACTTGACCCACCGGTGGAACATGATAGTTTTTTTTTTTGGGGGGGGGCCTCATTGTAGGATTATATTCACTTTGGTTACATAAACTCTGCTAGATCCTACTAAGGAACCTGGTGACTTTTCTCACAGGCATAAAGAATATTAGCAGAGAAGAAGGAAAAAACTCTTTATCATTCATCAAAGTGTGAACAGAAAAGGCATGTACTTCGTTCTTACAATAACACTGACATCTTGAAATGGAACTTAAGAATTATTACACAATAAATTCAAAGATAAAGAGTAGTGCTGGACTAACTAGTTAAGTTAAGGCTAACTAGGCTGACTCAACATCCTACCTGGCATTATACTTCTTAAATGGCCAAAAGGCATGTCATCATCTTTGCATAACAGCAAAGACAGACTCGTAACGTGTGCTGGCTAGCGAAAGTACTCTCTGATTAAACTACAAGTTTCATTTGTTTAAATACTCACTTCACTTAACTTTAAATTTGCATCCTGACGAGGGAAAAAATGAGAGTTTCAGGAAAGGTGTCAAACTTAAAGTAATTTGTTATGCAAAATAAGGGAAACCCTACTTCGTGATCCACCAGTGGGTCACAGCAATATTCATGTTTGTGGCGGCATGCATCAATGGGGGTCACCTTTTCTGCAACAAATAATGTGCCTGACATAACTGCGAACTTTACTGGTTTTTCCATTATTGTTGCCGGTCTCCTGGTTTTTAATTTTTAGCCTTTACTGAGGAAAATGTTTCCAGTATATGAATAATTTAATATATGCAAATTCCATTCTCCCATCATTAATGATTTTCAGAGTAATTTTACTTACTAAATTTTACTTCATCTAAATTGTATGTTTTCTTATTATATTTTATTGATATTATTAAATGTCTTTCTATCTGAATTAATGTATTGTAGACATCTGTATTAATCTACTATAGATATTTGTAGATTTTTATGTGAAGATTTAACCCTTTGACGCGTGGTGGTCGCGCCTTGAAACCACTAATTTTCGAATTTTTTTCTCCTCTTCCTTCCGAAATTTTTAAGTGAAAATGAATTAATTACTGATCTTTTACATCTATATAACAGAAAATGACTGTAGAATCATATATGTTTCAGGTATTAATATTTAAGATCGGATGCCTTTTAAAATTCATTTTTGATGAGACAAAATAACTTCCTTTTATTAATATAAACAACTTTAAATTTCAAAAGTTAGTCATCGCACGTCATGATTTCTATCGTAAATCAATAAAAAATTGCAGTAATTAAACTGCATATATTAAAAAAAAACCCTCTATATGTATGGCACTTGCCATGTGGTTTCAGGGTGCGACCACTGCCCCACTAGAGCATTGTGCTAGAGGCTAGGTGGTTTTGCCTTGAAACCACTGCTCTTCACAATGGCGTTTGCTTGCTTCTCAAATAGGAATGTTTATTTTTACCCGGATATAGATAAGGGGTTTTGAAATCACAGAATTATTTTATTACTAAACAATACATGCACCTGCCCAGTAAAAAGGTCTTTCTTTTCCAGAGACTTTTCTCTGACCTCAACACACTTGCTCCCAAGCTAGCATGGTATTTTTATAAATTATTTCCTGTGGTTTAAATTTAATGTAAATATACTTTGCTATACTTAAAAATAGAAATCGCGTAAAGTTTCATTTATATTAAAAATATTTTCTGAATATTCTTGACGAAATACGAATAAAATATGAATAAAATAAGTGTGAATGGGAAACGAGTGATCCGTACCAAAGACCAAAAAGACCAAGCCTTCCCCCCCCCATTAACATAAAAAAACCACAAATTTCATGTGCCAAATGAAAAGAAACTAAATAACGCTTGGACATATACCAGTGAAAATTTAGATCCAATCAGTGTACATTTTGTAGCACAAAGAAGAAACATCATAGAAGAAGATACATGTGCGAAACGTGCAATGTTGGTTTATGCATGTACCAAAAAGACAAAACATGCTTTGAACAGTGTCACAAAAAATTTTTCTTTGAAATATAATTAAAAAAATAAAAAAAATTATCCTTATTTTACTGAGTTTTTTAATTATGTGCCAAACTCCTTATTTGTAGGTACTTATACTTTCACTGCTATAGAAAAATACATAAATGTTATTTTTTAATTTTTTCTGACGATTTAGTTTTTAAAATAATGAAAACTATGCAATTCTACATGCATTTTTTTTTTAATCGTAATTTCGTCATTATTGGAACGTGCAAAAAAAGGTAAGTTTTCTTACTACCTAGGTAAATTCAAAGTCCTAGAAGCGCAGTGGTTTCACAGTGCGAAACCACCCACAAAACAATGGGCAAGAGTAGATTTTTTAAATTCATATATTAATTGTTTCTAGGATCATAATATTCAATTCTAGAGTTTTTTAGTTAAAAAAATTATAAAAATATTATTGCGCATGTCAAAGGGTTAAGCAATGTTTAATTACTTATTATTTGTATTTAATTTTGTTTACGTCAATATATGGTACGTAAAGTACTTCGATAAATAACAGCCTCTTGTTCACTACTCAGGATTTTCTTAGAATAAAAACATGAGAAAATTAAAAAAAAAAAAAAAAAAAAAAAAAAAGAGAGGGGGGGGAAGTAATTAGCCAAGGAACATGAAATTTAGACTATACAATTAACTGCTACTATACATTAGAATTGAATTACCTGCAATTCAGTGACATGATACATTATAAAGTGAATTAGAATTAGTTTGGAGTTACTTTGAAATGGTGTCGCCGTGCATTTCTCGTTTTTCTTGCAAAAATCTCCCGCTTTTTAACATTTGAATGTTGGCAACTCTACCTCAAATAGGTACTGCTACAAATGTATTTAGATAGATGTAAATTTGTGAAAATGAACTTAATGTTATGCTTTCTATTTGGTATTTACCTGTTAGCATTTTTGTAGAAGTGAAAGCAAAACTCCTGTGTAGTGTAGAGCAACTGATACTGATTATTCCTGCATCTTCCATCATTTGTGAAAATGTGAAGGATGGCTGAGTCATATGTTGTGTGTCTGGAACATATACATTCACGTCCTGTAAAGAGGAAGAATAAACAAACACCTGAGTTCTTAGGTAAATAAATAAATGGGTAGTAACACTACAGCAGTCATTCTTTCACCCTAATAATTTTACAAATGCCGTAATCAAACTGAAAATTAATAAAAATACGGGTATCCATCTTATAACATGGTTTTGCTTTTACATGCTAAGAAAATTGCAAAAACCCCTGTGTTGCACGGCAATGCAGTTTCATTCTAGCATGCTGATGAATACGCATAAAACCTCTTACAACACTTTACAGATGGACATATTTTGGTAACACGATTTTTATTCTAAACATTTACAATATTAAGTTACTTTTTAAGGCATATTGTATGGTACACAATAATAACCTATTTATTTATACACAAAAATAAATTTCGGGGATACTCGCATTCTCTAACATCGAAATTCTTTTGAAATGGAGCCGTGTCCATCGTTTACACAATAGGCATTTCGTGCTGCAAAAGTGTAGTCGATAGCTTGCATAAATTGTGTAACTGTGATTTTGGAAGAATATTTTTTTTTTAAAAAACATATTGGGTATGTATTAATAGTTAGCTTTCTTAGGAGTAACTATTGCAAAATTATTGTTCAGTATATCTGGAAAAAAATTTTTTTTGAGAGAAATATTTCTGTAGAGATGAAAATACAATTGCGAATAGTTTGTTAAAAAGGGGAAAAAAAAGCATCTTACGTTGAGAAAGGTCTTAAGTTTTAGTGGGGTAGCAGTGAGAGCCTTTAAAAATTATTTTGTTTTTTTAAGTTTTCGAACGCATCCCTCGTTTTATACTGTTTGTTAGTCTCGTATAACACGGCATTTTCTAGGAACCTATCTACCGTGTTATTGGATGGATATCTGTGCATAGATTGGTTAAAAAGTACCCTTCTAATCAATCTACTGTACTGGGATAATAGTATGAAATTTTAAACTGGTCCACCGATGATCAGGGAGTCAGTAGCAGAATATGCACCGTTAGCAGATCGGCATAATCAAGATTCCATTGGTTACAATAACAATGTTAATAAAACTGATAACTGTTTATTGATATAAAGCTATAGCAAGGAAGGAGTCATGTAAAATACCAAACAAACATTATTGACTTTTCAATCTTCTTACCTAGTAAAAGCAGGCTTTATTCAAGCCAATAATTTAGTACAGAAAGCAAGAAACAGCCGGAATATTTTTGCGAGGTGATTAATGAATTAAGTTGAGCAATTTTATATCAAATATTAAAAACGTTGTGTCAATATATCAAGCGTAGACATCTCAAAATGTAAGTAGTTGGTCAGAAAAACCATTCTTTTGAAAGAGATCGATGCGAAAAAAGGGTTGGGAATCCATGGCCTAGACAAACCATGGGTTTGGAAGTTAATAAGGAGTTACGCGGAGGAGCTACTAACGGACCGTAAAAATTTCGGATTGATTATTTAAGATTAAAATGGTAAATGTATAGCTCAAATTCATTCTTTAATAACTATAAAATAGTATATTGATTTTCGGCAAATTTGTATAAATTTTGAAAATTTTATAGATTGATCGCAGGCACTCCTTGTGGTTATCGCTACAAAGAAATATGAAGCAAGAATTTATGCATTAAAATATGTTAACTGCATTAAAATATTGAAACATTTCTTGAGATTATTGAAGACATTTCCATTAGGAACCTTAACAAACCGGTGTCCAAAATGTGACTCATTATTTATTGTATCTTTGGCGTTTAATTTGCATTATTTATTGCATTTCTGAGCTTCCATATACGTAAGCAACTGAAATTTTTGGACAGGGGCAGACAGTATGCTGAAGACAATATTTGTTAGATATGTAAATTTGAACTCTTCTGTGTCCGCAGACGATAATTTGTGTCAATATTAATTAAATACATTTCACAGAAAACGTTTTGAAAAAAAAAAAAAAAAAAAAAAAAAAGGAAAACGGTGGTCCCACGGGAGCATATCGAGCTATGATTTTAAAGTGGAGCTGAATTAAGAAGAATGCCCTCAATGTTTACAATCAGCACACGGAAATAAAGCTCCATCTTGTGTTATTGTATTCAGATGGTTTACAGTATTTCGTAGAGGATTAAATTCTCTTCTGAATGAAGAACGTGCGGGAAGTCTTTTAATTGCAGTTCCAGAAAATATGTTGGCTCTACGGAAAATGTTAATCAGTGATAATCGCTGTACCTACTAAATTATACAGAGCGAACTTAACATTAGAACCGCAGCTATTGATAAGGTTATTTCTGAAGAATTGCATACGAAAAGTTTGTTGTCACCTTTTAAATAAACAGAACGCTAAAACTCTGGGTTGGCAGAATCATTAAAGAGATTCTAAAACTAATTTTTGATGGTGGAAATCACATTATTTTTAAAATCATAACCAGTGATGAAACGTAAAACTTTTCTTTCTCTCTCTCTCTCTTTCTTTTTACGTTCGTAGACGTCAAGAAGGTGAAGTATGAATCTATAAAATATATTCTTCTTCCTTTCCGCATGCCTTCGTGGTGTGACTGTAAGCACGCTCGATGTGTATTTGGGAGGTCTGGAGTTTGAATTCCGGAGAGGGCATTACGTATTTCTTCAGTTTTCTGAAAAATTTCTACTACTCTGCAGGTGGCGTCTGAACAAAAATGTACTTGACAATATTTCGTCACTACCAGGATTTAGCGATTGGGTCACCTCATCCCACTCGCCCATTAAAAGTGGGAGTATATAGGGTACTCCTTTCCATGTTCCTTCGTGGTGTAACTGAAAGCACACCCGACACATGTTTGGGACAGTTCAAATCCTGTCGAGGGCATTGCACATTTTCGATATAAACTCATGACACATCGATTTAACCTGATGACTCTACAGATCTTTGAACGAAGATGGCCCTAAATCAACAATGATGAAAGAAAACGAATGACAAAAGAAGTAATGTATGCCGTTTTCCTCTGAAGTACGGAAAAGCTCGTACTTCTTTCTAGCGACGAAAGAAGTACGGTAAAGTCCCGTCACATTTATGGGACTGATCAAAGTCATCGAATTAGAGACAGAAGACAGTTATAGCTAACTGCTGTACATGGCCGTAGTTATAATATCGAGGATGAGATTGATGAAGTCATAAAAGCATATTTTTCATCGATTTCAAGTAACTGAGAATTTAAAGCATTTTAATCTTTGGAAAATTCGCCCACAAAAGCGAATTGTTGTTGGAGGGAACTTCTTTTGAACACTCTATGATTTGTTTTTGTAAGTTTAACTTGTACCGTTTAAAATTTCCGAGTGGCCGTCCTAATCTATCTATCTATGATTCCGTACATTTAGTTATTAAAGAAAGGGAACTTACCTCCATATAATCTTGCCATTTTGACATTTTGGCCATTCTTTCGTACATTTCAAATACTGGACATTGTGCTACGAATACCAGCAGACATTCACCGCCTGGTTGCATAAGATGTTGTATATTTGATAAAGCCTTTCTCAAATCTTTCACCCAGTGAAGGCAATAGAAGGAGAATATTTTCGAAAACGTGCCCCAGTCCTCACGAAACTCAGTGACGTCACCTGCTATATCCAACACATCATATTGAATGTTATCGTCTTCATAGTGTTGTTTCGCGTACTGCACCATTTCTGGCGACTTGTCCACTCCAAGTAGTAATTCGAAACGGCCAATGGCTGGGCTGAGAATACGAGTCGTGACGTCGCCTGTACCGCAGCCGATGTCTAGGACAACATCCGAATCATTCATCATCATATGGTTCTGGTAATCTTTTAGGACGTGATTGGCATCCCTTATTTGGAATGGGCTGGCACGGGCATAAAGTTCCGGGTCATTCATTTTCTGGTCCTGCGTAATAAAATATTGGTGATTTAATTGCAATAATCAAATTTATATACGTACATGTATGCAGTGGTATGTAGCTATCGAGGTTCGGGGTGAAAACCTCTCTGGAGCAGTAGTTATAGTTACGAGGGGGGGGGGCGTTCGTTCCGCGCGGCGTTACATTTAAAGGCGACATTTTTTTTTTCTTGAATTATCATTTTATAGACCTAAGTCAAGTGGATCGTCGAGGCAGTTGAATAGTAAATCGCCCATACGAGGCAGGTGAATAATAATTACATTAATTCTAATAATTAAGTGCCGTACGGTAATTTAGAATGTAATTTGATGTAACTCAATTAAGAGTGTAACTAGTATACCTTTTTATTACGTTGAAACTTTTGAATGCAAATTTTAAATACCGAATAAATTATGGTCATTGTGACGTTCATGAGGAAGCATTTGTTAAGACAGAAGTATTCGAATAGTTTTATTTCCGTTATTGTTATGGTAAGCGGAACAGGAACATGGGTGGGAGGTCTTTTTAAATTTTTGTAGTTTATTTTGAAATATAATTTCCATAACAAAGTTACAAATATTTTAATGCCACTGCGAGCTTTCCTCTCTTTTGCTGATAAGTGTTGCTATTTGTGAGAAACGTTTTCTAAATAGAAACCTTTCAAGAAGTAACTACACTTGTATATTTTGTATTTCAGAATAGTAAAAAGATTTCTGAAATACAAAATACAAACAGCAAGAGCAATCGAATAGACCTCTGCAGCGTCATTGAAGATTTTGCAAACAATGTATGTATATATATAAAATCATATGATTTTTAAATGTTAGAATTAAAGTTTTTTTCAAAAATAGACTCGGAGTTTTAGTTTATTCCTCTACAATATCGTTTTGACATGTTTTGTAGTTATATTTTTCTATATCAAAAGAGGCGCAAGTTCGGAGACAGCTGTAGAAGAGCAAGCTCAGAGATCGCGCATTGCGGCAAAAATTCTAGCTTCCCACTGCCCTCGGGTCTCACTTAATGATCACCATACAAAATGTCACAAATATATAACTAAATTCCTGAGAACGCAAGAATACTCCAGAATGTGCCGTATTATTAAATCCTTATATTAAACTTAATTCATATTGAACTTTTCAGGACTAAATCTGTAATTTGGGACGATGTTCTACGAGATTCGATGATTTTCTAGGAGGATATTTTGTGAAGCGAAAGCTGTCAACTACCACTTTTTGCCGAGATTATCGTCTTTTATTGCACATGTTCTGGCTCTTGAAGATGATGCCTCTAAGGCCGCCTCACGATAATTAAGTCTGAATTAATGCCCCGTGGAGGGTAGGCTGGAAGATGCAGAATAGTGTATGATCGTTTGTCCCTTGTAGTTCCAAATCATTGAACAGAATATAAGATAAGAACAGAGTCCTTAGCAGTACAGCTTTGCCTAGAGAAAAGTTCATGGTCACTTGACTTGATTTGTGATATCCGCCGGTTGCTACTTGGCTACAGGAGAACACAAAATGTAATCAAAATATTGGTAATACATGAAAATACAAAGACCTGTGTACAGAACTATATACAATTTTATATGCAATGCAGATCACACGTGGATTACGCACAGCAGAGTAGGAATTTCGAAAGATAGCTAGTGACTTGCAGTGAAAATCTTTGTCCTGATGTGGCGCCGTCTAGTGTTGGGTATTCCAATTGATTTCGGCAGAATATTCTAAATTAAGACAGTCGTCTGCTAAAAATTCATTTTTCTTAAAACTGGAGAATCTTCATTATATCGGAAAATTCTGTTTCGTCATATGACCTGCATATGTTTGCAGGAATTTATCCTCATTTATGATCTCATAATGGAACACATTAAAGTAATTGAGGTACTCACAGTTAATAGCATTCCTAAAGAAGTTATCGTTGCATTTTCAAAGGAAAACGTCCATGAAGTCAATTTTTGGGTCTTCGTGTAGAATCTGATTTCTAACATAGTTATTGGGCTCTGGTAATGATTCTGAGATACTTACTTTGTATAACTTGCAGCTTTTTAATATTTCATTTCTTCGCAGGTGCCAGGGCGGATAAGCAAAGTCAAAATTGGGCATGCTATCGAAATGTAAAGAAGTCTTCTCGTACTTAAGTCTTGCTTCCAGTATTTGTCTATAATTGGCAGGATACAGTTTATAAGTCTTGTAGCTTTCTTTCTCCGTTAGGATGTCGGTTGTGGTCTGTCAAGGAAATCAATCATTTATTATCACATTTAAGTCCTTAGCCTTATGTCACATTTCAGTCCTTGGTAATTGGAAGCGGCTGTTTGAATAGTTTTACTTATTTCATAATATGCGTAGCACGTTTTCTACCTTTAATGAGTAGTAACTGCGCATTAGCGGACATTCCGTCTGCAGCATCAATCTTCAGTGGAGGGAATATTCTCTTGCCATTTGCGAATGGCATGGTTGATGTTAGCAGACTTTACCGCTAAAACGGTGTCGTCTGCGTAGCATGTTAACTTGGAGTTGTGCTAGCGAAGTTTGCGACTTGTAAAAGGTATAATATTGGGCCTAATGGGGCCCTTGAGGCACGCTTCCAGAGATATTTCTCTCAGTAATGAGTGCCTTCCCAACTGAAAGCTTGAATTTTTTAGCAGTGATGAATGACAAAATAAGAAGGATCAACTCTCTATCCAAATTGAGAATGTTAAGCTTGTAAATAAGTCTTTTATGCCAGTCGCGGTCGAAGGCTTTCGCCACGTCCAGCGTGAGCAAAGCGACATTAAGCGTAAATGAAGAGCTGCACCCGTGAACTCGGTGATGCACACAGTTGTTTCGTCGTCGAGAGCTTTTCTCTAAACCCGAACTGTTCGGGTGGAAGCAACTGCAGTGTAACGTCGAGCTTTCGTGATTGAAAAACTAAGACTTGTTGTCTTTTCTAAAATTTATTTAAAAGCTTAACATAGGCTTTCTTGCTTAATTAAAAGTAACATTACAGCATTATTGCAGATATGGCTTCATTCTTCGCAAGATGATTCGTTCATGTATTTTTCTAAGGCCTGGTAACAGGCTTATGGGTCTGTAGCTGTGAGGTTTTGTATGTTCTTCTCTCAGTTTTGGAATGAGTATCAGTTTAGCAATTTTCCAAATGCTAGGCAAGTAAGAGTTTACGAAGCAGGCATTAATTATATTTGAAGGTTGCATACAACATTTCTAGGCAGATTTCTAATTGCAGTGTTGAAAATATCGTCGAGTCCTGGTGCTTTCTGAATTCTTAATCTGTTATAATATCAGGCGTCGAGTATTACTTGCCATAGGCACGTTTAGCTAATTTCGAACCTTCGTAAGTACACTTAGTTCGAAGTCGGTTCTGTTGGCCACGAGTTAGGCGCAAACTGTAATTCCAGAGGTGCGTGGCAAAGATATTGGCATTTTCTTAATCGTGGGTAACTGTTAAAATTATTGTAGTAAATTGGGCAATTGCTAGAGAAATTTCAAAATTTCAACCATTGACCAGGAAGTTCTATCTTTGGTGTCAAGGCTTGTCACTTTTTCTGCCCAGAAAGCTTCTCTGTGCTGTTTATTGTCTCTCTTAAGTTTGTTAATCCGCTGCTTCACAAGTGGTGCCAGTCACGCAATACCTTTTAAAAAGTCTGTTTCTGTCACAAATTACGTCTACAATATGGGAAGGGAGTTCAAAAATTTTTTTCTTTGCAGATCAAATTTTCTGAAGCTTCGTCGAGGTCGTGTTTAATGCGATTATTGTATGATAAGACTGCACGATCAATATCTTTGATGCTGCTGAGCTTTTTAAAGAGTGAAGGATTGTCCTGCATTAGAATTTCGAACAGTCTCCAGTTCGTTAGTTACCGAATTCTTTTAGCATCTTCTGGGACTTGATCGGAATTCAGTTCGTGTTTAATGTCCATAATTATGGGAATTGTGGTCGTTAGAGGTTGATATCGAAAATTTTCGATATCAACCTCTAGATGACACGGTCGATAGGTATACTTTTCGGAGGCATATATAGTCACAGAATTGTTAAGTATCTAGTTGTGCAGCATTTTTCCATTCATGTCAATTCGACAACAATTCTAGTCACTGTTCCTGGCGGTGAGGTCTCCGGCCAGTACAGTTATAAAATATGCTGGTAAGTCTGATTACTGCACGCATTATAGAAGGCATTGAAATAAACGTCACGGTAAACGAGGAGTGATGCACATACAGCCGCATGTTTGAAACTCTGAGCTGTGCGTTTACTCATGAGACAGGATTGTAAGGTTCTCTTAACATAGACATTTACACCGCCACACGGTAGTTCAGCCGGTCACATCTGTATTGGCAGCAATTTGGAATATTGACCTTATGGCAAATCCGAGCACGAGATTCAGTAATAATGTTAATGTCACAGCTCCTGGAGACTCCAGGAGGGATTTTATACTTGGTAGTATAGAATGCCTGTGGAGTCCAGAAAAGCAGACCTCCACAGGCAATCTATACTACCAAGAATATAGTATACCAGCTTTTTGTGTGATAATTCGAATTTGGATTAGGTGAGAAAGGTATCCTGAGATTTGGCGTTCACCATCAGCACAGATTAATTTTATTAGGAGTGGAATCCTCGATTCCTTGATCAGGGATGCAAACATTCGTAAATCAGCCAAAACATTTTTGGATTTAGTAATGTGCTCAAGATCTAGTTCGCCAGTTAAGGCTTGAGTATAGGTTTTATTGACGGTCAAAGTTCTTAGGTTTGGAAGCAGCCTTTCGCTTTGGAAATGTTTCGCATCCGCAAGAATTCGTTATGTGTCGTATTTGTTGCCAATTTAACCATTTAGGGGATTCGGATTTATCCTTCGAACACGTGAAAGAATCGTGATTTTCCCCCACAGCGAGCATGTCGTGGCTCGTGATTACAGCAACATTGCATATAGTAGAACTCTTGAAGGCAACAGCACTGCATGTGCTTTATATTGTTCTATATTTAATTTCATTTACTGAATAAATCTTTCATCATAAAT